CAAGTGTTGTGCTTCAATAAACTGTATAACTTAGTTAAATTATTGAATCAGAGTTTTTTATTGGTTTATCATGGCCCATTGGGTTAAGATAGACACAGCATCAGAGGGAGTAACTAGGATTTCTCCTTCTGATGGCACTTCGCTTTTGGCCCCTGTGTCACGCGAAGTGTTGGATTGTATGCACCAGTGGCCTAATACAACATGGCTTCTCTCATATTCTTATTTTCTTCCCCTTACTTTCAATATAGAGATATCTGAGAGTTACAGAGTGAATTTTTTCTGCTTGAATGTGAGTCCACCTGTCTGATTTATTGGAAAGTGGAGCGATTTCAGATGCCAAACAACTTTAGCAGGCGAAAGGCAATAGCATCTTGAGCTCAAGACAGTGCATCCACCGGGACTGAATCGAGACTTAGGTTTCCTGTCTCGTTACCATTGCTGATTTCTCCTTGTCTACGAACCCTCTGCATATCCAACCTAATGCAATCACACCCACTATTGTCATTCACCTGCTAGTGTCGTTTGGCATCTGGAATTTCTCCACTTTCCAATAAACAAGACTGATGGACTTGTATTCTAGTTCCATCTTAAGAGGCGAGCAGTGACTCACAAAGGCTCATGCCCTACCAAAAAAAAATTATTAGTCTTTAAAGTGCTTTTCACCTGCTACAGACTGACTGACATGGCTAACCATCTTCATCTTTCTCAGCATTCAAAAGGAACTGTGTAAAAATACATAGGGAATAAGATTGCACATGTGGGACACCACAAGCCAGCTCCACCACTGAATATATAAATAAATAACATGATATGGCATACACTAACTTGGGCTGCGGTGGCTCAAGTGGTTAAGACGCTGCACTGCAGGCTGTGGAAGGTCACTAGTTCAGCAGTTCGAGACCCGGGTGCCGCAAGACGGAGTGAGCTCCCGTCTCTAGTTCCAGCTCCTGCCAACCTAGCAGTTCGAAAGCAAGAAATTGCAAGTAGATAAATAGGTACCACTTCGGTGGGAAGGTAACAGCGTTCCCTGCGCCTTGGTGTTTAGTCATGCCGGCCACATGACCACGGAAACGTCTTCGGACAGCGCTGGCTCTTCAGCTTTGAAACTGAGATGAACACCGCAACCCTAGAGTTGGACTCGACTGGCTTTCGAGCAAGGGAACCTTTAACTTTTTAACAAAGTTATAACAAAATATATCACAGCGATGGCTAACAAAACCACTAAAGCAAAATAGTTACAAAAATATTTTGTGTTTTTAAATATACTTCTTTCATGTAGATTCGTTCATCTATTGCCAATGCTCCCTCTAAGCTGTGGAGTCTTGTGAGCAAAAAGTCTACTTTGTGAGCTCCTGGCATTAAAGTTGTGAGCGAGCGATTTGACTGCTGCATAAATCAGTTTGCTCTGGAGCAGTGTTCCCTCTAAGCCGAGTTAGTGTGAGCTAGCTCAGTTTTTTAGCCTCCAGCTCATGCATTTTTGTCTTAGCTCAGGAAAGATAGCTCTGGAGCAAACTAATTTATACAGCAGCCCAATCACTCACTCACAACTTTAATGCCATTAGCTCACAAAGTAGAATTTTTGCTCACACGACTCCACAGCTTAGAGGGAACATTGCTCTGGAGCCATCCTTCCTGAGCTAAGATAAAAATCTGTGAGCCAGAGGCTAAAGCACCGTGAGCTAGCTCACACTAACTCAGCTTAGAGGGAACACTGTATATTGTACATCCATATTCAGATCTTTTTCCATAGATATCAATTATCCTTAATTTACACACACCATGCAATAATGAAAACACTAATAAATGACAATAATAGTGTCCAGCACTCCTTGAATTATCCACTTTTAAAGATGCGATGACTCTCTTCACAAGGCTGAGTTTACTGTTGGCCGTTTCAAAGCAGTGTTGAATTTTTTTAGTGCTGACACAGGAGCTGATATACGGTACCATCAACACTGGTACCACCAGCAATAACTTCAAGATGCTGGTATAACAGCAATGCTGACTATGCAGCTGATACATGATACTTTCAAGATGCTGAAAGGAAAGGGAAGGCATTAAACTTACCTCCTCTGTCTCTCTCTTTCGTTCCCCAGCCTCCCCACAGTGGCCACTGGGTGTCTGGGGAAAGAAAGAGAAGGCAATTCTTCATATCTTCTCACTGTCTCTTTCCTTCCACTGTCTCCTTAACTGAGGAAAGGGAGGCATGTAAACATGCTTTCTCACTCTCCCCTTCCCTTCCAGTGGGTATATCAGACACATATATTTGAAAATACCGAATATTTCCCCAAGTCAGAATACTGTACCACTACCGGAACTCGGAAAATTCGGTATTTACCGATATATATTCGGTCTAACATACCCGACTCCGAAAACTACCATTTTTTTCTCTTGCACACCCCTAATAACACCCGGTCTCATTTTTTTAAACAAAATATTTATTTATTGGATTTTTACCCCGTCCTCCCAGCAAGGCCAGCTCAGGGCAGCTTACACAAAAATATAAAAATACAATATAATAATACAATATAAAAATACAATCAGATACAAATTTAAAACCATAACTATAACAACATACTAAAGTGCTAGCATTTGATTCCTTGGCGTACAGTCAGCTGCTTGGTCTCCTTCAGATATCCAGGCGCTCGGGTCAGGCTATACTACTGTTTAAGGAGAATAAATATCCCTATAACAAACAGGGCACCTACTGTGTGATGGTTGTGTTGCCTGTTTGCTTGAAGAGGGTGCAGAATTTTGTGTATAGTTCTGGGTGTTGCTGTCTGAAGTTAGCCCAGCCATTCTCAACAATCACAGTTCTATACCCCTCGTCTTCTCTGCCTTTAAATAAAAGCTGTTGGTTTGAATGCAGTTCAGGCTAGAGATGTGAAGGCCCAGGAAAAAAGCCCAGGAAAAAACCCAGTTTTCCCTCGTTTTTTTCCTCGTTTTCCTCATTTTTTTTCCTCGTTTTTTTCCTGAAGCCTTTTTTGTTTTTTTCCGGAAAAATTGAAAAAAAAGAAAAGATTTTTTTAAATTATGGAACGTTTTATTTTAACATGATGAATAAAATATTTTAAGACAAGGTGTTCAAATATTTTCCAAATATTTTAAGATAAGGTGTTCAAATATTTTCCAAATCATATATATATAGTATCAAATCATATATATATAGTATAGTATAGTATAGTATAGTATAGTATAGTATAGTATAGTATAGTATCAAATCATATATAAGGTGCAATTGTCAGAAGAAAATAAAAAGGTTTCAGTTTTGTTTGTGCATGTGGGTTTGTGCATGTCGGGTATTCTGTTTGTAATAATTGTTTGGATACACTATATTTTTAATATTTTTATATTTTTAATATTTTTAATATGCTAGATAATTTCATGCCAAGTAAAAATGTCCATAGTCATATTTTATGTTCCTAAAGTAACAGAATGACTTTCAATCTAGAAAAGACAAAAGAAATGCTAATGTAGCATTTTTTCAATTTTCCCAAAAATTTCCGTTTCCCCCCGAAAAAACCTGGGAAAAAATCCGGTTTTTTTCCGAGCTTCAAAATTTCTGGAAATTTTACATCTCTAGTTCTGGCTTTGAATGGGGCACCCATGGGTTTCATAGAATGGGATGGCCCATGGATCAAAGTCAGAGCATCTGGAAAGCCCCAAGTTCAATCCCTGGCATCTCCACTGAAAAGGATCATATTGGAGGTGATGTGAAAGTCCACAACGTGAGACCCCAGAGAACCACTGCCAGTAAACGTGTGCTTTTCCTCCTCTTGGCCATCTCCCTCATCTCTGTCTTCTTTGGGTCATGTTATGTGAAGTAAGTATCACCCTAAATATCACTTTTACTGAGAATAACTGAATCACTCTTATTTGAAGATGCAGAGCGTTGCTCCCAAGTGTCCAGAAGATCGGCATCCAAATGGGGACTGAATTCAAATGTGTCCTCAAGATTATAACATTCCTGACTTATGAAGAATCCCTGGTGATCATCCTATTTTTCTGTGCCCTGCTCTTGTCCCTCGTTTCAAGTTTTGTTTTAGTCCTGTTTACTAAATCCCCACACATTTCATTAGTCAAAGCCAAGAACCGGTACCTCCCCTACGTTCTTTTAATTTCTCTCCTGTTTTCCTTTCTCTCCTCCTTTCTGTTCGTCAGCCAGCCAAGGAAGTAGACCCGCCTTCTCCGACAAACCACCTTCACCCAACAACTTTTC